CCTGATGTGTTAAAATATAACATATGCTGTTTTTCATCAGATTTGTTGATAATGTAAATAAAATGTGTAAATATATTAGTAAATGTTAATATTCATGTATTTTAAGTTAAGGTTATAAAATTTGTCACAATGTGATTTTTTTTATTCAAGTGAAAACAGATGTGTGCAGCTATTTTGAATATTTGTTTATAAACATTCATATTCTTTATCAAATGAACTTGTAGTTTTTTGTGTTTCATTCCACTACTATTAACCTGAAAGGGACAGTTCAAGGGATTGGATGCCAGAACTATCTGGCTCCATGGCCTATGTGTATCCTTTTTCTCTTCTGCCACATACATTGAATGTCAATACAAAGTTAGAGCCAATTAACAGTAAATTACTCCCTCATATTTTCTTATCCATATATATTTTCATATTACTGAATTTCTTTTTTTCTTGAGACAGAGTCTCACTCTGCTGCCCAGGCTAGAGTGCCTTGGAATCTGCCTAGCTCACGGCAACCTCAAACTCCTGGGCTTGAGCAATCCTACTGTCTCAGCCTCCTGAGTATCTGGGACTACAGGCATGCACCACATGCCTGGCTAATTTTTTCTATATATTTTTAGTTGTCCAGCTAATTTCCTTCTATTTTTTAAGTAGAGACGGCGTCTCACTCCTGCTCAGGCTGACCTCGAACTCCTGAGCTCAAAGGATCCTCCCACCTGGTCTCCCAGAGTGGTAGGATTACAGGCGTGAGCTACAGTGCCCTGCCTGAATTTCTTTCTTCTTTTTTTTCTAAGACAAGTCTTGCTCTATTGTCCAGGCTGGAGTGCAGTGTGTGTGCAATTATAGCTCATTGCAGCCTTGATCTCCTGGACTCAAGGGATCCTCCCACCTCAGGCTCCTGAGTAGTTAGTGCTACAAGCCTGTGTGACTATACCTGGCTAATTTTTAATTTTTTTGTGGAGATGGGTCTTCCTATTTGGCCCAGGTTGGTCTTGAACTCTTGGGCTCAGCAATCCTCCCACGTTGACTTCCCAAAGTGCTGGGATTACAGGCATAAGCAACTATGTGCAGCCTGAATTGATATATAACCACTTCTACATTGTTAGATTGGGAAATGCATGATTTTTTTAGTATTACAAATAGGTACTGTATCATTTTTTCTTTGAGGTATCACTTTTTCTTTTAGATTATGCCTTTAGGATAAACTTCTGGGACTGGGACTATAAGGTCAAAGGGTAGAGTTTATTTTTATGACTAACATTTTGTCACTTGGAAGATGTAGTAAAACAGCTGAAGTGAATCAAGTAGCCTGCTCTCTCCTCCCACCAGCAAACCTTCCCCAAACAAGTTATCTGAATTTGGAAATAGTCTCAGGTTTTGCCTTTCTGGAACACTCCTATTTGAGCCAAGTTTAGGCTATACGAACTTTTTCAAAATAACATAATTTGGCAAGATCGTAACTACTTATCTTTGAGGAAAT